CCTTCCTCCCGTCCTTCCTAGCTTTCTTCCTTCCTTTCTTTCAAAATTACTACCATTAACCCCATTCTGTCTCCCCCCTTTTCTCTCTTCCCCCCCTCTAACTCTGTCTCTCTCTCTCTCTCTAACTCCTCTTCTCCATTCCTCCCTTCCACTCGCCCTTCCTTCCTATCTAGGGCCCGTCGTCTACCGCCACGACGGGCTTTGCTTACTAGTTAAATCCTTCCTCCCGTCCTTCCTAGCTTTCTTCCTTCCTTTCTTTCAAAATTACTACCATTAACCCCATTCTGTCTCCCCCCTTTTCTCTCTTCCCCCCCTCTAACTCTGTCTCTCTCTCTCTCTCTAACTCCTCTTCTCCATTCCTCCCTTCCACTCGCCCTTCCTTCCTATCTAGGGCCCGTCGTCTACCGCCACGACGGGCTTTGCTTACTAGTTAAACATTATAATTTCATAACTGCTTTCCCTAGTGGAATATTTTTGGCATTTATTTTGAATGCATGGTTGCTGATATAGGTAATGGAAAATAAACCAGTAGTAGTATGCATATATTAGCTTTATTGTGGGTCATCACATATTGTGCTGAAACAGGTTAGAGGTCACAGTTAATATAATATGGGTTGGATCCAACCAGTTTTTCCACGGATGGACGGAGAGAATAAAAAGAGGCCTCTTTGACTACCCCAAAGGCTATGCTAGGAACCATGAAACCTCCCTGGACAAATGCCACATGGGACGGGCTGTAGCAAGGAGGGGAATTGGCTGAGATTGTGCAAAAAAGCTAGCTGGATACAGTGCTATGTGTATGTATAATGTTATATAGAAATATTATGTGTATATAGCATCCTTTTGTCCTCACAGTGGTTCTGTGAAGGAGGTGTTCCTTTCAGAAGACAGATATTTCCCATCCACGGGCAAACTCTCTTAATGGCCAGCTGGAGAGTCATATTGAATAAGGAAACAGATTTTCTAGGCTGAGTGGCTCTCAGGGAATGTTAGGAAAGGTAGATAGTATATCTGTATATGGTTTTTAAAAAGCCAACAAAAATAACACAGAGCTAAACTTTGATGCACAACAGAAAATGCTTTCTAGGGAATGTTTAGCTTATTTTGCTTATTTGTAATGCTTTCTAGGGAATGTTTAGCTTATTTTGCTTATTTGTAATTTCAGTTTTGGTATCAGTTTGGGACAACTCATAGATTTGGTCGCCATGCACTGATAGTGTCAGTTTTAAGTACATCTGTACATTACATCCTGTTTATACTGGCAGTTGCATTGACTGGTACCTCCTCTTCATATTATACCACTTCTCAATAAAGGGTTATATATTAAAATGTTCACCATGACATATGTGGAAAGCTGGCATACCAGGACAAAGGGTTTAGCCTGGGCTTTGTCTGATGTGCTGTCTAATGGAAAGGGGTGTGGTAGAGGATTAGTTAATGAATTTCAAAGACTTATGAGAAAAACAACAGAAATCTGTTCCATGCACACAAGTCTGTGCCATGCACTTCCATTTTTCAGATTGGATTCTGATTGATCTACAAGATAAGAATGGCAGAACACTTTATATGCTAAAAATGCCAAAGAAATTATCCTTAATAGTTTGATTGTTAAATGATTTGACATTAATGTGTTCAAGCTCCAGTGTGCTTATAATTTGCTTTTGACATACTTTTAACTACACGTGCCTAAGCCTCTTTAGGTACTAAGTATTTTAAGGGATAAAGATTACTGTGCACAAGAGGAGCTCATTGTGTGCCTTGTAGAATAATTGAACACCAGGTCTCTAGTTGTACTATTACAGTCTTTTTCTGGCGCTGGCCCAATCATGGCATCATTTGGAATCTACTGTGTTCAGGCAGGTTCAGGCCCCATAAACATTTCCTATGCACTCATATGTTCATCCATCAGAAAAAATCCTTGTGTTCTTTTGTTGGATCACATTTAATGGAGTTTGGGTGTCTGAGATTATGGGTGTCTATTCTTTTTTGTGGATGGAAGGCTGTTTCAGTGAGACAAGATTCTTTTGTGTGTATGGTGACCCATTTTTCTCAGGGAAAGATTGTATCAGATTCTCTCAGGAGACGGAAGAACCCAAACCTGCTTTAGAACTAGTTTTCAGAACCAGAACCCGACTGATTCAGAGCCTCATCCAAAGCAACATGCAACTTTTATCTATGGCTATAGTTAGACTCTACGTTCTGCCAGCACAGCCACTGTGTAAGGCATGTTTCACCATTGCAATGCTGATAGTGTTCAATGTCATTTTCAAAAGTTGACCATAATACTCTTGTAAATTAAATTGTAAGAATCCATTTTATCTGAAATAACAAGGCTTGTTTGGGATGTGTCAGTTAGAACAGGGGAAGACCTAACGTATATTATTTTTCTTTTGCCATTTGCAGGTTGAGGCATCCGACAGAGATTCAGGCCATTTTGGCCATATTGAGTATTTTCTGTATAATGGATTCCATAACTATGAAAAATCAAAAGCATTCCAGATAGACCCAAGCAATGGCTACATATGCGTGTCTCAGGACATTGACAGGGAAGAAGATCTTTCTACTTATGATCTTTTAGTGAAAGCTACGGATGGGGTATGTTTTACTCTTGGATTATTCCTCTCTAGTTCTTTTTTTCTTGCTGTTTGTAGAGACTGAGTGTATATTTAAATGGCATTAAAGTTTATTTGTAGATCATATATGATTTTGCTTTAGAAAGGTTGACATTATACTTGGTAATGAGAACTGATAAAACAAAACCCGGCAAGCTGATGTGAGTAAATCTATTGACCATGCAAACTGTCGGCCTGTTCTGAAATCTTTAGCACAGGAATACACATACTGTTCTAGTCCAGTAGCCGTATCTATGATGCTGTCAGAAAGCTGCATTTAATTTGAACATTGGTCCTCTACCAGTTAAGAACATTTTGCTTACTTAATTGTATTTAACAATGGTAAGTACAACTGAATGTTAACATACTTTTCATGGTGTGTGTCCTTTTTATTATCAGCTATACTTTGCAGGCATCATATTGCTCACTTGAGGAAATGTACATTATTAAGAGTACAAATAGATTATTGCATTTCCTGTTATGCACTCCTAGCTGTGCGAAGTTTAAGAGTTTAAGGGTATATTAAGCATATATGTGCGTCTGGACTTCATTACCATTGATGTTGATATTTTCCATGAAATCATCTTGATTGCTTGAGAACCCATTTATGCTGCTGATCAACTGCATCTGGCAATAATGATTTTCTCAGTTGCATTCTGTGGGGATATTCCCCCCTTATTTTTTAACCTGCTACATATTAATTTCATTATGTTTGCTTTCATTTTAGGCTGTGACTTAAAGTACCCATATAGTACATGCAAACCCAGAGGTTTCCCTCCTCACCATAGCATCTCTATAAACAGAATTGCAAGCTGCTGCTCCAAGTCATTTTCATTGCATCCATCAGTTTCAGGGGGTGATCTCTCTAGAAATCTGAGGGTTCCTCCTTGAAAGGTCAGCCATTCACTCCTGTAGGAAAGAGCAGTGTGGCCCACAGGGACAGTATTGTATTGGTAGCAAACCTTGTGCTCTACACCAGACACTGGGCAGGTGTCTAGCCAAGTTCAGATGTTAATGTCAAACCATAGTCTGGCTGTTAGGTTTGCACTTCAGGCTCACACACTTTGCATCTGTCCTCTTCTGTGTTCCAATTCCCTCCCACGCTTCCTGCTTTTATGGTAGTGATTCTGTGTTGTCTGAATTGGGGAAACCACCCTCACTTCATTATTAGGACTAATTTCACTTATTTTTCTTTGACTACATGATACACATGAATCCTGACTTATAGTCACATTTTCCAAAGTGCTCCATTGCTTGATGTGCCTGGAAATGCTGTGGGGGAAATTCTGTGGGGGTTCTTCCTTCGCTGCTGTACTGTTTTCCCAAGCAGAAATGGCTGCAGATGGCACTTCTCTGCCTTGCTGTGGGGCTCCAGGTGTCCTGGCATCCTGTGATTGAGTACATGTGGAGCCCTACAGCAGGACGAACAGGGCCTTCCCTGCAGCTGTTTCCATTTGGGGAAAAAGATTCATGAGGGGAAGCTGATACTCCTCCTCCCCCCCTCCCTGTGTAGCACTCCTGAGCTGCATCAAGCAGTGGAGTCCAATCATGGCCACATGACATGTATCATGTAGTTCTGCTCTCAGTCTCATATTCTGTTTTCCTGTATCAAGTAAATTTTGCCTGTAAATAAATATGGTTTTAAAAGACAGTAGAGAACAGATAATCTTTGAGTCCTCTCATTTTCTTATCACATGGATTGACTTTTGTAAGTGCTGTTATGCAGCCATAATTTGAAAATTAAAAAAGTTAAAAGGTCAGCTGTGCTCTGTTTAACAACCTGATCAAAATGTTAAACAAGAATTGTGAGACAATACACTGATAACTCTGAATTTGATCTAGCATGCCTTGTTCGGGCTATACTGCTTTTTAAAGAATTTAATTATTTGGTAATTGATGTTACAGTTCTTTGAGTTCCCAAATGTGCAGTTAACGGAGTCACAAAAAAGTTTGATTAGATTAAAAGATCCTCTCTTTCATGCTGTAGCACAATAGCACTTGTCAATTTTGAACAAAGAAAAATTTAATGGCAGAATATTGTTGTAATTCGGGGGTGATTCTTAAAATTTGAAAGATTCATAGCTATCTTGACATTTTTGTTGGAAAGAAAGATCACTGTTCTGAAAAAAATGTTTATATGCTAGAATGTAGCTTTTCTCAGAGGAGGGTTCCCCCCCCCTCAGTTTTGAATGCTATTTAAGAGGTGTGTTTGCTTTCCCATTTGTTATACAAATTGGGTGCCAGAAGAAAGGAGAAAACCAGCAGGTACAGTAATCTGAGCTCAATAGCAATTTATCATAGTCACAACTCCATAACCTTCTAAGAACACAAGACCTTGCCTTCAGAATTCAAACAGGAAACGTTTGTTATTGTTCTGGCATGTAATCCATTCTATTTTTTATAGCTCTATCAGTCAGCAAAATGATCAAATAAAAGTTACTTGAGCTTTAGAAACAAAATTATAGAAATAATATTCTAAGAGCAGCAAGGCAAAACTTGCAATTGCAGATTTTAAATGTGTTATAACAAATGCAGTTTTCTCATAAAGTAAAAGCATATCTAAATTGATTGTAACATTCTGGAAAATCTATCATATTTCTGCTACCTTTCAGTGCTAAGTATGATCGTTACGAGAAGCTGTTGGTTCCTGTAACTAGAGATCTTAAAATTACCCCTGCCAAGTTAAGTTTATACTGTGTAAAAAATAAAAGTTTCATGTGCTGCATGCTGACAAAAAGTCTTACGGAACCTTAAAGACCAACTAGAAATGCCATTTGAGACCTGGGAATCCCCCGGGATTACAGCTCAACTCCAGACTACAGAGATCAGTTCCCCTGGAGAAAATGGATGCTTTGGAGGGTGGACTCTATGCATTGTACCATACTGAGGTCTCTGTCCTCATCAAGCTCTATGCCTAAATCTCCAGTAGTTTCCCACCCTGGATCTGGGAAACCTATGCCCATTCCCCTCTGGTGGCCGGGGGACCTGGCAACCCTAAGACCAACTAAGTTATTGTGGTGTAAGCTTTTGTGTCAGCCAGAGCTCACTTCATCAGAACCACATCTCTTGGTATAAACCTATGTAGTATCTTTGCTCCTTTCAATAGTTCTTTGTTGATACAGTTGTCCTTGGTATGACAGTGGGTCTTTTTAGTTATGACCGTGAGCCTCTGGAATGGTTTTACCAGAGGAGGTTGGGAGGGTGCCCTCTTAATTATTAATTTACGAGATTTATATCCTGCCTCTCTGTCCAGTCAGGGCCACCAAGGCAGCCAAGTTAGCTTTCAGAAGGTATTGTGAAACAATCCTGTTTCAAAAGCTTGGTTTTTGAGTAGATTGAGTGTGTGTCTTGGATGTAGGCTTGCCAAGTCCCCCCGGGGGGCAGGGAAACCCCCGCCCCAAAGGCCCGTTCCTCGCTGGTGGCAGATTGGGCCCCGGGGGGAACTCCACCCCGATGTGCACGTCACCCGAAAGTGACACGACCAGGCCGGGCATGCTGGGGGCGGGGCCAAGGTCATCCTAGGGAAAACTCTATGGTTTTCCCTCAGATGGTCGTCGCCCCGCCCCCAGCGTGCCCGGCATGCCCGCGTCACTTCTGGGTGATGTGGATGCGGCTCAATTCTCACTTGGCAACCCTACTTGCATGTGTATACTATTGGTCACCAGCTGTCTGGTGAATTTTGGCCCATCTTTCTGTTGTTTGGCAAGCAGCTATCAGAGAGCCTGTTTGTTTTGATTAATTATATCCTGGAGCATGTATGAAATTAGCCCCTGCTTTGTTAGGCCTCCTTGGGCCCCCTTTCGGGGGGGAAAGTAGGATATAAGTATTTTAAATAATAAGTTAGACTCATCAAGTTTTCATCAGTTTGACTGAGTGAAAGCTCACAAAAGCTTATGCCATAGTAAACTTGTTAATCTTTAAGGTGCCACAAAATTAACAGCAGACTCACAGACTTACCCCACATATGTTATGCCTTTGTTTTCACTCTTGTGTGAATATATTTATTTGAATGCTTCTATCCTGCCTTTGAACACAAACATACCCTCAGGACAGCTTACAATATATGCAACCGTCAGTACAAAAGACTACAGAAATACTAAAATAACATTGCCCCCTCACTTGGAATAAAGAGACAGACACCAGTGTGGATTTAACAAGGGCCACTAATTAATAACAACTACTGGCGAGGGGTTGCCAGAAATGTACTGAGGAATATGACAGGTGTCAATCTCCTGACAGCCTTCATTTCCTTCTGGGCGATGCACCTGCCCCGATCTCAAGCCACCGAAGGTAGCTTTCGACCAGCAGCATGGCATGTTCAAGAGAACCCCTGACCCACCACCCCAGAAGCCGCAAAGGCCCGCTAAGGTAGGCCGAGCCAGATTGTTCCAAGGAAGATCACCCCTTCCCGGCCTTGAGCCGCAAAGGCCCAAAAGCTGTTCCTGGAGGACCCTTAAGTTCTTTTATAACAGTGCCCAGGTGCTCACCATTTCCATCCTGATCGCGCTCCCCCGCCACAGCAAAGGTCAAGCCTCACCAGACTATCTGCACTCCGGGCCTCCTTACTCCTATCATCACAAGGAGAGCCCCTGCTGGTATCACCATGGCATTGTCCATCATGGCGAAGCAGCATAGCCCACCAGACTATCTGCACTCCGGGCCTCCTTACTCCTATCATCACAAGGAGAGCCCCTGCTGGTATCACCATGGCATTGTCCATCATGGCGAAGCAGCATAGCCCACCAGACTATCTGCACTCCGGGCCTCCTTACTCCTATCATCACAAGGAGAGCCCCTGCTGGTATCACCATGGCATTGTCCATCATGGCGAAGCAGCATAGCCCACCAGACTATCTGCACTCCGGGCCTCCTTACTCCTATCATCACAAGGAGAGCCCCTGCTGGTATCACCATGGCATTGTCCATCATGGCGAAGCAGCATAGCCCACCAGACTATCTGCACTCCGGGCCTCCTTACTCCTA